TATATATAGACGAACCTTGTGGTTGTACGACAGTGAAGCGTCAGTGCCAGCACTGATGTTGCTGTCTTTGATGATGAGGATGAGGATGAGGAAGATGATGATGATGAAGGCGGATTCGATTCGGTTGGTCTGTCTGTTCTCCTCGGCACGCCTGTCCATCAAGGAATACCCCTCAAGTTTGTTAACTTAATAAGTTCTTTGTATGCTCTGACATACGTGCGAATTCGATTCGGTTGAGCGGTCTGTTCTCCTCGGCACGCCTGTCCATCAAGGAATACCCCTCAAGTTTGTTAACTTAATAAGTTCTTTGTATGCTCTGACTTCCATACGTGCGAGAGTGCACAGAGAGCTCTCCAAAAGCTTTCGTACTGAAGCGGTGCATATTTTCTCCATTCCTATTCAGTTCCTTGGTCGATGAGATAATGAGACGAACACGGTTGTTCAAATCGTTCACGTCTTTGAACTGAAGAAGAAGGCACAGATGTTTTTGAATGAACTGGCCAAAGTTATCCCTAATTTTGGTAAGCACTTCGCACCCACAGATTGTAAGTACATGTTACTGGTCATGCAGTCATTGAAGACGCCACTTACGATCCAGGGAGAGGCACTCGATGTTGTGGAGCGTTTCACGTATCTTCGAAGTTCTGTTAGTCTTGACTGTAGTGTGACAGATGAGTGCACGAATTTGCAATGCTCAGGTCGCTTTGCTAATTTGGGACACCTATTGCGTCAACGCGAGATATCCCTGAATCTAACAGGACATGTGTATCAAGCTACGGTACGGGCTATTTTTATATATGGCTGTGATACTTGGCTTGTTCGAGCAACGTAACTGAGACGTATTCATATGTTCGGCAAAAAAAATCGTTCAGCAGTAGCACCCTTTCAGCGCCTAACTGCCATACCACCAGAAGGAAGTACGAGGGCTGGGATAATGCCAGTTGCTCAAACTTAGACAGGGGAAGTCGAGAGGCAGAGGTCGGGTTCGAACCACAGACCTTCCAGTCTGCGCTCTAACCACTGAGCTATCTTGCCCCAGATGTTCGACAGTCGTTCTCAGAACCAAGGCTCATGTGGGTTGGTGTCGGCGAGTGTGTAACGAGGCAAGCTAGTTTTCGCTTGTGTGACCGAGACTTCCATGGAAGACGTCCAGCACCACAGGCTTCGTTGTTTTCTGCCTGCGGAGCCATAGGTTGCCAAAAAGAGTGCTGTTTTCTGTGCCCAGTTCAGAGTGGAAGGAAAGAAGTGATCAATTCTCGACCTGGCAGAGGGATGTGAAAGATATTACGAAACGTTTGGGTGCTGTCAGTGCTACTCGCCTTCCATGGTGAAGGCTGCGTGATTCTCACTGCGCCTGGTTGGAGACGCTGCAAGATATAACTACAAGTCGATGTCAGTGACGTTCTTGTTGCCAGTTTCTGTGAAGATTGCCTGAATGAGTGTCTGGAGATATAGCCCCCCCCCTCAGCATGATTGTAGTGAGCTAGCACTAAGTCTCTTCCCCGTTCACCTTTACTCTTTCCTTCAAAATAAGGCTTTCGGCAGCGAAGCATCAGTTTTGAACACTGATGTCGTGCTGTCGATGATGATAATGATAATAATGATTACCTACAGGACGACAGTGAGAGCAATCGTCTGGTTGTAATACTTTTCATCTCCAATCCGAAGATCTCAAAAGCCATCTGATATATGGTAACCTGTTTCTTCATAGTATAGCACAAGTTAAGTGGCCGCAACTTGTACATATTGAAACGTTTCGTAAGAGAGTGCTTGTTAAGCTGTCGGATTCTCTCGAGCAACAAACAAGGCTTATCAGGTCAAGGTGTCTTGGAATGTACTAATTATGATTAGGCATGATTTATCTACCCATTTTTTCCACTCCGGGCCCGTAGGACAGGCCACGACGTGGCAGTGCAACATGAAGACGACACCGTGGGGTGCGATCCACGTAATTTTTCTTCATGCATGGTCGGAAATCCAGAAGGACTGTGCAGCTAGCCCATCGCAGTGGCGGGCTTTCCGTCACTTAGTCCAACTGCCTAGCTAACGCTTTTCTGTCGTGTGCTGGGCGTGTGAGGTTCTCAAGGAACCATCCTGTTGATGTCGTCTTGCCCCGACGTTATACTCAGATGTGTTTATATCGGTGGGTTCGTTCTTGAACTTCTCTAGAGACCCTGTTCGCCCTTTGCTAGGATCCTCCTCCATGGTTATCTGGCAGTTGTGCACCAGCTTACAGTACTGACTCGTTGCTGTCTGTGATGATTATGATGGTGATGAGGGCTTTCGAGTAGTTTCAGAAACTTTGTGCGTAGTGTTCCTTCGATAAAGTAACAAACACTTTATGGCTGCACGGCAGTGAAGCATCAATGTTAGCACGGATGTTACTGTCTTAGGTGGTGATCGCGATCTTTGGTTTGCCGGTTGGTAACTGAAAAACTGACTGACAAGTTACTAACAGCAGTGATGGTATTAAGTGATTATAACACATATGTCTGAGAGGTTATTAGGTCTGTGTGCAAACGGATTTCACAACATGAAAGCATGACCGCGAAGCAGGTGTGTTCAGAATCTTAGCAAAACCAAGAACCCCTCTGTGTCCTCATCGGAACTCGTAGCACGACAGAAAAACAGCTTTACGCTTATGGGTCGGTGTGGACTCCGGAGACCACAACCAGGAAGTAATCCGATATTTTTCAGTCTTTCAGGCATCACAAACTCCTCTATAACCCATACAGATCGCAACTGTTCTCACTTTCACGCATGCTGGGAACCCTAGCCATGCCACATTCTGCTTACGGATAGAAACTGTTCTCGGTTCACTGTTACTCTACTCTTCCTCGAGCACAATCCTTTCCGTCAAGTACATCTTATATCTGTCCATTTAAACATCTTTTTATTTCAGCCCCGTTTCCATCACAGCGTGCAAACCCGCAACTCGTTCATGCCTCTCGGTGTATTGTTTGCTGTTACCTCGAACTAGGTCGATTCTGCCAGTGAAGGAATGAAGCAGCCCTCGATTTTCTGTTTATTCCCCTTGCTTTTTATCTCAGTTATCGGTGTGAACCGGGAAAATTTCAAAACCTGCCAGACGAGCTCGTAAGTTGTTATATAAATGGCTTCACACTTGTATCAGGTTTTGCAGCAGACAGCGTGATGTCGATCCAGAACATATACGATATTTCATTGAACCAGGGTCCCTACGAATAAGCGCGTTTGGTTTGACAGCCAATTTGTCAAGAAACCCTGGCACACAGTCTCTCTTTATCGACATATCCTACCTGGCCTTTTCAACTTTTCGCGTACTGATAGACGAGCCGGGTATTGAGCCAAAGAGGTACCGACTTCCACCGGGCGACTCCTTGCGTACCGAACCGAAAAAGTATACCATCGATGTCGTTCGCTCAGAGCAGTCAGCTTCGCTTTTTGGAATAGCGAACGACAAGGCGATAATATCTTTAAATCCCTTCAGAATCGATTTTTATGTGGATGAGGTGGTTGTTGCACAGTTCAACCACAGAAACCTTTTCAATTTTGAAAACAAATACGTCACGGATGCACGTCAGGATACTGAAACCGCAGAGCCACTTGATCGACAAGTCGAAGATCCTTCGATAAATTTGTCGGGGTCTTCTGAAGCCTATGAAGCACCGGATCATTCGGTAGAATCCCTCTCAGGGAAAAACAGTGAAATGGACATCGCAAAGGATAATGATGTTTTAGAACATGAAACTGCTAGCAGCTCTGAACAAACCGAAGCGCATGAGAATGAGCCGGAACCTACTGTAAACTCTCCAGCTGATCCGTTCCCTTGGTCAGAGGAATTTAAGGGACACCGTGATACCCGCCCGTTCGGGCCAATGTCTATTTCTATGGACATAGACTTTCCTGGTTTTTCCCGCGCCTACGGAATACCGGAGCACGCAGACAGTTTTGTCCTCAAATCCACGGAAGGTGGTGATCCTTATCGTCTGTACAATTTAGACGTCTTCGAATATGAATTAAATAACCCAATGGCGCTTTATGGATCAGTTCCCATCATGTGGACCCTGAATGAAAATCATACTGTGGGCATTTTTTGGCATAATCCATCTGAGACTTGGGTAGATGTGGCCTATTCTGATCGTCCTGCTGATAGTTTTCTGTCAAAGATTCCAAGGTTATTCACCAAATCTCCCGAAAAACACGTGAAAACACGTTGGTTGTCCGAAAGTGGTGTGCTAGACGCATTCGTCGTGCTAGGTCGAGACCCACACGCGGTTTCGCGGGCATTCGCTCACCTGATTGGTACCACTCCTCTTCCACCGTTGTTCGCTCTTGCTTATCATCAGAGTCGATGGAATTATAACGACGAAGCGGATGTTCTTTCTCTGGATCAACGGTTTGACGAAGTTGCAATACCATTGGATGTAGTTTGGCTAGATATTGAACACACGGATGGGAAACGTTACTTCACCTGGGATAACGTGAAATTTCCTAACCCTGAAGACATGGTAGATACACTGAATAAGAAGGGACGGAAACTGGTCACTGTCGTGGATCCTCATATTAAACAAGACTCGAATTGGCAACTGTATAAGTAAGTTTTCTTTATAATCCTTATACTTTTTGATGCTCAACCAATGCCCCTTTCAATGAATTAAGATTTGTGATTCGAGGTCCTAACCGAAAAGTTCAAGTCTTTATGCAGTATATTTAGTTGAAGAATAACATAAGCGAGAGATTGAGATGGTATTCCTTCGATTCGCCTGTTGGAAACAACGCTCAAGCTCTTTGCTGGCCAGCTGACACGTCCCAGCTGTCGTACTTTTTCGGGCCGTATGGATGCCTCAGCAGTTTTTCCCTACTCGATTTTCCAGTTCCGTTATAACCGGTTCAGAGGGGGCTCTCTTTTTAGCGGTGACTGTAAGGGCCTCTAAAATTGTTTACTCAGTGGATGCATTTCTTAGAATATGCCACTGTGGTATTAATCTAGGCTCATCATAATTCAATCACCGGGTGGGTAGGTAAACACTGGTCAGTCAGTCTGAAACTGACGCTGAATATCAAACACATCAGAATTCCAAACGAATGAAAACATTGTGATGTCCTTTCCCACAGAGACTAACGTGGCTTATGATGTATGACGTCTTCTCCTGCTGAACGAATCGTGTTAGCTCTAAAACCGGTTTGCTGCGTATTAATTGAGGGCGTCTACACATGACCGCATTTCTCATCAAACTGATGCGCCCTTTTTTCGCAACCTTAGGTTTCCCACATGGTCAGAGTGCTCGGTTTTCCTCTGCGAACCGGCTCTCGATTTACCAGCCAGAGTGCCTTGTTTGATTTCATGTCCACCTTGATGGTGTGCCACATAATTCGACTGAATTCTTAGCCCATTTAGTGAGCCGCAGGACGAACGCACCCGTTTGGCTGAACTCTGCGGAATCTAACCATATCTTTATTACTAACCTTTCACGGATCTGAACAACAGCACAGTTCGCTCTTTTACTTATCCACTCCCTTTACGAACGGTCCGAAATCATTTCGTTTTGTTGAGCGGTCTTTCCAGGGAGGTGTCTCATCAGAAAAACCTGAGAACCAAACGAACTTACAACTTTGGAAAACACGTTTCTGTTATTACGCTTTCCATGATCACTTTTTGTCATAGATATTGCATAGTAATCACCCTTGTTGTGGTTCATTGAATGTCCGTATTATCCATGTGGCAACCTTCTTCAAAGCATAGTTTACTTAGCGGTTTGTCCATTCCAGACTTTTCAGTCAAACTCCTCAACTCCCTACCAGTTTCATGTCTTCATTCCTGTTGAAAACATTTCCGGAAGCAAACGAACGCAAAAAAATAGTATAGCGCTCATTCAAGTAATTCTCTGTGACTCCAATTGGATTTTTTGAAAATCTTGTTGTTTGGTAGTTGAATTTTTTCCATTCCTCTTCGTCCTTATTTCTTAAACAACATGTGTACAGAATAATAGGACTGGAGCGGACGTCCGAGTTGAAGAAAGACATCCATATAGGACTTCAATCTGTATCATGGGAGTGGTAATCCACGATCACCCCTACCTAGGCAAGGAAATTCTACCCAGGAACCTGTTGTCTCCTTGGTCCTGCTCCTTGCATCCTGTGCGCATTTGAGCGGTTGCAGGTCGCTCTAATTGCGAACACTATGGTGCGAACTTCGACTAAAGAAGCCTACATGTCTAATCATTCACCGGTTGCACAAAGCATTGAGGTCAAACTTCCCGCGGTCCTCCAGCGTAAAAATATTTATGTCAAACGACCGTGTAGCATAGCTAGATGCATTCGTTGCTTTACAAGTCTGGTTATCCCGGTTCACTGTCTTGAGATTTGAACCATTTTGCTTAACAACTTAGTGAGTGCTTTGTGGCAACGACAAATGTTCTACGGATGGTAGGATATAACTAGTGTGATTTGTCTGAATGCGAGATGGTGAGATTCAGGAGGCGAAATTTTTTCCTTCATCCGGGCATATCAAACTGTACAATAAGTCATGACTACGAAGGTGTGGGAAAACGAGGAATTATGAGAGCAGTCTCCAGTGAATCATAGTACAGATATTTTATTTTTGCACTCAACGCCCCTCCACACATTTGAGCAGCGGCATTGACCAAGGTTTTTCGATTATTCGAACTCAATTCAACCCAGTATTTAGTGGCTGCATGGTTAATTTGTGCGGTGCAATGTGTAGGTTTGCTTCTGTATTTCAATTGTACGGCCTTAAATTTAGTCGGTAACTTCGTAACTGTGCTTCACATCCAGTCTGCTATGGATCCTATAGGGAATTCTGTATAACGCCAGACTTCATAATTTGCTTTTTCAATCGATCCTCATGTAATGTTTTTATTTCCATGTTCTGTGTTTTTGGAGTTACGGCGCTTCAGTGATAAGAATTCTGACCGAAACCCGGTTCGGAACACCCAGTTTAAGTGTATGGTGGCCGGCCGCCAGATTCACATGACCTTAATTTCACGGTTATCTGTATTGACAAAGTTTTTTGCCTAGCCAGTAGATCGAATAAGGCGCTCATACAAACAGGTATTTTGCTCTTCTGTACATACCGGAGATCCGTATATATTTTTTGGTGTTGCGACTGCTTTCCTAGTTGACCTCAGTGCTGTACTCACAAGACTTATTCGTTCAGATCATCTGCACACATACCGGCCGGCACGGTTCAAAATGTTACATATAAGCAGATGTTTCTTTAAGACATTCGAGTGCGCAAATCAATAGTAAACTCTCGCCAATCAGCCGAAAGAAGGCAATTGATTCGATTTTTGTTGTTTTCCAATCGATAATTGTATTTGTCAACATTTTGTGTGCGTGGGTATATTACACTACCATTTAAGTGCCATCCGTTATATTGATACTTTTGCCTACTGGTGTCTACAGGTTTTGCAAAGTGACCTTCCATTTTAACCATATACCGTCTTTTCTGTGCTCTCTGGTACTCAGACCACTGTTACTAGTCTATACACACCAGGCTAGCTGGGTTTTTCTCGGCTTCGAGATCGATTTGTTATGTACTTCATACAAACACCACCATTTCTCTGACTCTTATACGGCAAATAAACGAAAGTGGCCAGTGTGATGATGCTTCAAGGTATGTGCGCGTCCTTGTTAAGATCGATAATAGAATAAAACGTAGATGTGCATGGTATGACTGATATGACAGATTCCCTAAAACTGCACAGGGCGATCTTAGCCCAACAAAAGTAGTCGTTCCGATGGTGTGAGGATACCGAACTACTTCGGGAAGTTGACCCTCAAATGCATAAACAGATTACTTAAAAGTTATTGTTCCGCCCTAATGAATCACGAGCAAATCGCTCAATGAATGTGACACTTAAAATGGAACAGAATATGCTTCTTGAAAAGAGTATCAACTATGTGATGAGAGCCATCTTTCCTTAAAACACTTCTCGGTCAAACAATATAAACCATGAGAAGAGATGGTTCAATTGGTGTTACATTGCTTGAAGTCAGGGTTTTTATGCTGGATTTCGGGAACCCATCCTTGAGTTTATCTGAAGTTTATTCCATTTACAGAACAACGCAGAATTATTGAAACCCGAGTTTTCCTTTTCTCGGATAAGTTGGGAAAAGGGTTTAATCCCAAGTCAAACTGGCTAGTCTCTATAACATCTGCATCACATGTGTCCACCTGGTATACAACTCAGATCTGCACGTTTTTGTAGCCCGTTTCGGACCCTACGCGGCTGATTAGTATTGCCAAATGCCTGCACTCAATAATGTTTACTTACATATATACTCTAATGAGCCAATGTGCCTGGCAGGACAATACATATGGACGGAACGAAAAAAATAAGGCAAACTTGGAAATGGAGGAAGAGTTTGTGGATGGGTTTATGACAGCAAAAAAGGTTATAAACGTTCGCTTTCGAGTGCGATTCTTCCAGGTCATTTCTGTCAACGTTTCGAGCACAATCATTATCTTTCGGGCCCTACCTGGCTTGTCTGCACAGTCTAACAGAGTAGTCAGGCTTGGAGGACCTTCGTTTTTCGGTGACGTGGTCTTTTCTCCATTTTATGCGGTTCTAAAAGGACAGTGTGCTGTCTGAGATCCTTCGAGTTGCCATCTTCTGTACATACCCTAATCACTGAGGTTGATGATGGTCAACTGTGTCTACCACTCCGCCGTCATTACGTCCGGACAAGACGCATCGTCGCACGTCGGCTTTATCCGTCTGCTATTGCCAGCAGGCGCGCAAGACTTTTTGTGATGATCGAGCGCGGTGAGTGGTGTGATGTCTTCCGCTCAAATAAAGTGTTTCAGGCTTATATGGAGGTGCGTTATAACTTCAGTGCCTGTTCGGGAGGGCCGACACCGTAGGTGCTGGAAATTCTTGAAGGCTATCCTAGCCTTGGTAGTTAGATCTCGTCTCCAGGTATTTGACTCTCAGCTACTTGGAGCTGTTAACAAATTCAGTTGCTTTATCGGCAATGGAACGTAATTGCACGTTCAGACTAGTCCTGAAAAAACTACACTCATTTGGCAAAAAAACCTTGTCGTAACAGCTCAATTCCGATATCCGACACTCAGGGATGCTCTACCACCTGTCAGCACCAGACCGTCCGTGCAGTCTTGTTTCTTCTGTCTTAAGGAAACGAGTGTGATTTGTTTTGGTGGGTTTTGTCCGAAACAGATGGTGGAGGTTGAACGGTATTCTCCTTCGGTGAGCTTTTGTTTCGACTTGATACGCCTGAGATGTTTGAAGATGGCAATACAACACGCCCCACTCTCAGAACAAAGGAACGGAACTGATGACTACAGTGCAGCGTTGAAGTTCCAGGGGGTGCCACCCAAGACAGCCTCCGGAAATGTAGAATGTCGTCCGGCCCTAACTTTCATTGCATTGTGAGAAATCAGTCGCTTCCAGAAGGGGTTCCAAAGGGCAGAAAATTATACTCTGTTCGTATGTCATCCGGTGCTCAAGCATCGGCTTTGGCTTCTCAAACCTGTATTCGAAAACCGTTCAGTTTGATGTGTTTGATGGGCTTCAAGAAAGGCGAAACCAGACTTATCATCGATCCTATGAGTAGTGGTGAAATTGCTAGATTAACTTCGTTTAGTGTTCATTCCAACAGTGTGAAAAATACCGCCAAAGTTGTGTTCTCCAGGAGAAAGCGCGATTTTCGTCATCCTCTTTGGGAAGAGGGGAATAGCATAAGCCTAAATTTACTCGTCGGCACTGACGCAAAGATTGTAGTGTCTGCCGCACCGCTACAACACTATCTTTCAGCGTTCCGGACTCTTCTCTACGTAACTTGGTTTAGTCGATGGTGTAGCATCTTAATAGTTCCGCGCTTGCAATACCCATTATCAAGTCTTTGACTTCACCGCTACAACACTATCTTTCAGCGTTCCGGACTCTTCTCTACGTAACTTGGTTTAGTCGATGGTGTAGCATCGTAATAGTTCCGCGCTTGCAATACCATTATCAAGCTCTTTGACTTTGTTAATGGTAGTAATGATTGAAATAAAACAATAATTATTTCCGCGCCCACTCCATAGTGATCATGAGTGACATACAAAACTCGTTCGCAACGGCAACCGTCACACAGAATCTTGTTAATGCACTAGTTATTCACACGTAAGGCAACTTCTGAAGCATTCGCTTTAGCCAAAATACTAACTTCCAGTTCACTGTTGTAAAGTTTTGAAAAAATCTGAACCGCCAAGTTTTTGAACTAAGTACGGAATTTATCGGAAAGGCTTTTTGCTCATCTCTTCACAAGTCGGAGCACTCCATCGGTGAGATATTTTAATATATTGTCTCCGCTTTGGGGCAGTAGCGTATTGGTTTATAATAAGCCGTTTGGTTTGGAGATGTTCGTTGATAAGAACAGTTGGGTTCCAATCAGTGAAATGACTATACGGTACCGGAATTCTTATCGTTATACCGCTGTAATGCATCATTTATAACACGTGCAGCAGTTGTGTTTATTCACTTCTAATTCCTTGTATATCACAACAGCTCTGCCGCTGGAAACAACTATTATATTAAGTCACGTGAGGGCTCTGATTATGTCGGTTGGTGCTGGCCTGGTTCAAGTGCTTGGCCCGACTTCACCAGTCCTGTTGTTCGGCGATGGTGGTCAGAGCTGTTTCTTACTTATGGCCCGATTCGTGTAAACACGATGTTCACGTGGAATGACATGGGAGAACCATCCATATTCAACGGTCCGGAAATAACGATGCATAAGGTAACTCTGATCGACACTATCGTAGTCTTTTAATTTAGACCCACTTGTTGATTGCTCATATCTATACGTGGACGTCGGTTTGTCAGAGCATGCGTTTCAGGTATTTGATCTAGGTTTGCGCATTGTACGTCTTATAATCGAATAATGAGACTTCCGGGGCTTGAATATTGCCATCACACTTGTTTCCTGTTCTCTACAGAAGGAAACACCTTTTGGTCAAGCACCTGTGATTCACTCTTCACGCATTTGAGAATAAGAATGTTACTGCATCTAAATCGAATTAATCCAACATCTACGTGGTTGGTATGACACTCTCATGATGTTTACCTCACTCAGAAATACGTGCGACAGAATCATTCTAGCAATATCTTAACGGTTTAGTGACTTGAAGAGTAGTAGTTCTCAGAAACTATGTTTTATATCCTCCATTTTTTCAGATGAAGATTAGCAGCCGATTTCAAAAGACTCGAATTCGGGTCTTTCCAAACAGAATTCGCATCTGTTAGTTGGACCAACAGAATGACGCCCATACTGTATCGAAGTAAAAAGCAGTTACAAGATCACCTCGAGTAACTGTATCGTCATCTCATATCACGTCCAGGTTTCAGGTGGTGTTGCGTTCATTCCGACCATAGGTCGTGGTTTATTCGGTTTATTCTTCGAAAGTTGTTTCCACATTGCTGGAAACTTTGTTTGCCGAGGCCGATAGATTTGAAGATGTAGTGGTCATCAAGACCAAGACACAAATTCCCCGCGATTAAAACAAAGGCAGCGAAGAAGCCTGTTTCCTATGATTGTTCGTCTGGACCAGTACATCACAGACTTATACGAAGCTTGACATTAATCAGGTGGATGATTAGATAAATTCACGGTGACGAATGTAAAAAGAGAAGGGAAATATAACACAGGTTAATGAGTCATGGGGTAAATCGATGACGTCATAGTCTAACTACGCCATGGATAACAGAATAGCTGGTAAGCCTGCAGAAGTTTCTAAACACAGCTCTGGGTTACACAGTCGAATTCCGATGACCTCTGCAGTCGACGGCAGTCTCAATCCCACGACTCGGAGCGCCTCCAAAGCATTAACACACTGTAAGATTCGGACTATTATCAGTCGTAGAGACGATCGGAGTTCGACTGTGTGACTTGGTGCTCGTTCAAAAGAGAATTTTGCTGGCCCATTAACTATGTGTTGAATGTCACCGTCATTCTGAGCATTGACAGCAACAGTAGCTCGGAACGCTGATGGATCAATACCGTAAAACCTTGTAAATACCATTCAATGAGGAGATGAATGAGAGGGTCAGCTGTCGGTATATCCCAAACACAACCTCCTTATCACTTACTTTAGTCCTAATGGTGTCAACTCTGCCAACGGCATGTGTTCTCTCCTTAGATCTAGCAAGATATGCCTCATTGGACAAGGCGGTATTGTGGAGATACTATGCTCCAATAACCATGGAGCAACAACAGTTGGAGTGATGGTGTACTACGGAGTGTTGCATTGCTATTTGGGTGACGAATGCGCCCGTGATTCCCACCAAAGCAGATATCAAGTCTGTGGCCTTACGTTTGTCAGTCCTGTACAGGAATATATATATATATATATATA